AAGGGAATCTTTTCATGAGTAGAAATCTGTAATTTTAAGTCTATTTTATCAGTTCATAAATATTGCTTTCTATATTTTGTTTTAGGAGTCTTTGCCTTTCCCAAGAGCAGGAAGATAGTCTCTTCTTTATTTTAAAAAAGCTTTATGATTTTATTTTTCACAGTTAAAACACCTATAATTGATTTTTGTGCATGTGTATTTTGTGAGGTAAGTCTACATACATTATTTTCCACATGGATATTCAACGGTCCAGCATAATTTGTTAAAGATATTATATATTTTTCTCCACCACAGTTTAGTTTATCTTTGTATTAATCAAGTGATTGAACATACGTGGATCTGTTTTTGAGCCCTCTGTTTTGGTGTATTTTTTCTTCTTTGCCAATATCACACTTTTGGGAGTAATATAACTTTATAATAAATCTTGCGGTTTGGTTATATAAGACCTTCTTGTTCTTCGGTTACCTTGGCTCTCTTTGTCCCTTTGCATTTCCATATAAATTTTAGAATCAGCATGTCAATTCCTGAAGAAAAAAAAAGGCTGCTAGTATTTTGATTGATCTCTTATTAGGTCAATAGATCATTCTGGGAAAAATTGACTTCTTAATAATATTGAATCTTCCAACGTATGAATGTAGATACATCCATGTACCCCATCCATTTTTTTAGGTCTTCTTTCATAACTCTTGGCAATGTACGGTAGTTTACGATGTAGGATCTTGCATGCCTTTCATTGGATTCATTAGGCATTTGACGTTATGTGACGTTAATGTAAATAACATTTTAAATTTTATTTTAAAAATGTGTTTGTTGCAGGCTTATAGAAATGACCTTTTTATGTACAAAATTATACTGAAATGCTTAATGACAGTGTCTTCTTTTCTGTTCTTTACATGTATTTTTGAACATTTTCTGGCCTCATTGTTCTGGGTAGCACCTTCATTACAATATTAAATAGAGGTGGGCATAGTAACCATCCTTATCTTGTTCTTGATTTTAAAATAAAAGTATAAATTATGAATATTTTACCAGTAAGTATAATATTTACTATATGTTTTTATAGCTTAAAAAACCCAAGTAAGGAAGGTTCCTTCCATTCCAAGTGTGCTAATAAGAGTTTTCTTCTTTTTAAAAACACAAATGGGTTTTGAATTTTATCAAATGCTTTTATCTGCTTTAATCAAGAGGATAGAATTTTTTTCTTCTATTATGAGATACTTTCCATTGATTGGTGTTCAAATACTATGTCAACTCAATATTACTTAAATGAAATCCACTTGGTATATAATATTGTATTTGTAATATGTGTGCATATGTATTTGGATATTTTGAATCTATGTTCACAAAAAAGTTGCCTATAATTTTTTTCCTGTAATATCCTTATTATATTTTAGTATCAAAATTATGCTGACTTTATAAAATGAAGAGATTGATTAAGGCTGGTATTCTTGATTTCTTAATTGTGTAGAAGAATTTGCCAGTAAAGCCATCTGGCTCTGGACTTTTTTTGTGTTAGGAGTGGGATGGGGGAGTGGGGCTTTAAAAATTTTTTAAATTATTATTTTAATAATCACTTACCCATTTACTAAATAAAACACTATTCAGATTTTCTATTTCTTCTTGTATAAGTTTGGTAAGTTATCCCTTTTTTCTATAGTAATTTTAGTAATAGAGTAGTACTAAAGATTATTTAGTAATAGTAATTTTACTAATTTTGTTTTATGTTTTAAATTTATATTGATTTTTATTTTTTCCATCACCATTTAGTCCCCTTATGCGGCCTCCTCCTCCCCCACCGTTCCCACGCTGCTGTCCATGTCCGCGATCCTTTTGCCTTTTGGCTCATCCCTCCATCCCCTCCCCCCCACGCCAAAGACTGTACACTTTATCTCACTCGTCAGATATTGTGGGGGAAAAACACATTTTTAATGTCATCTTAATACTTTCTAATACTGGTGGAATCTGTAGTGTTGTACACTTTTCCACTCCTGTTATTGTGAATCTGTGTGTTTTTTTTTCCTTCTTGTTTTCTCGGTCAGTCTTGCCAGAGGTCTATTAAATGTTAGTCTTTACTGATTTTATTTTTATTGTCTATTTGTTTCTATTTCAATTATTTATACTCTTTAAATTTCTTCCCTTAAAATAGTTTTGATTTGCTGTTATTTTCCTATCTTCTCAAGTTGACTTAAATCATAGATGTTTAAAAGTCTTTTTTTTTTTGCTAATATATGCATTTTATACTTGTAGTTTCACTGTAATCATTTATTTTAGTTGCATGCAATATGTTAATATTTTGTACCTTTATTAACATTTAGTAACAATATTTTACCACTTCTGTTGGAACTTTTTATTTCACCTAGGGATTATTTAGATGTGTATTTGTTGTTTTTCAAGCAGTTGAAGACTTTGTAAGTTTTTTTCTCTTTCTGTTATTAACGTCTAGCTTAATTTCACTTTGGTCAGAGAATATGCTCTGAAGTTTCAGTCCTTAAAGTCCACTGAGGCTTGCTTTATGACCCCAACTATGGTCAGTTTTAGAAAATGCTCGATGTGCCCTTGAAAGAATATGAATCCTGTCATTTTGGGGATTCATTTATGTTAATTTGTCCATTATGTCAGTTTTGGTCATTTTGTTTGGGCTTCTCTCTCATTTATTTTTTTGGCCTGCTTATTCTATCAGATATTGAAAGAAGCATCACAAAGTATTTCTCTATGATTTTGAAATTGTTTATATTTTCCCTTAATTCTGTCAGTTTTTGCTTCACACACACACACACACACACACACACTCTTATTGAGTTTTAAGATAGTTTTCTGTTATTAATCCACCATCTTAATTTTAGAAGTGGTTCTTGCCTTTAAGTCTCCTTTGTCTGATACCAGTATAACAACACCACAACATTTTGATAAGTATTTGCATGGTCTACTGTTGTCCATGAACAGCTCTGTGTTTTTAATTTAAGGTTTGTTTTGTGAGCATATATAATTTTTAACTCAGCCTGAGAGTCTTTTTATTTGAAATATTGTGCATTTATGTTTAATATAATTACTCTATTTTTATTTGTCATCTTATTACTTGCTTTCTATATATACACTACTTGTTTTATGTTTTTTCTCTCCTTATTTTCTTTTGATTTAAAATTGTATTTGGTTTTTTTATTTTCCCTCTAGTAACTTATTAGTTATACACTTGTCAGTTATACATTATTTTACTATTCTTCTGGTGATAAGCCTTAGGAATTATAACATGAATCCTTGACTTAATTATAGTCTAGTAAAAGCTATTAATTTTACTGCATTCCCAATAATATTAGGACCTTAAAATAGTTTAATTCCACTTATGTTCTTAACTCTTAGGTCTTTTGTATTATTTTTCCATGAAATTTTATTCTACATAATTTGTTAACCCCACAATATATTGTTAATATTGTTTTATAGATTAATGTTGACCTATACATATTTACAAAATTACTTTTCCTAGTGGTCTTCATTCCTTCTTGTATTCCTGTGTTGGTCTGAGACCGTTTTTCTTCTTTTGGAAGCACTTCCCTTTAGGATTTTTATTTATTTTTTTTTTTGGTATAGAAATCTAAATATGTGCTACTATACCAGACACCATTTCACAGTCTTACAGATGGATGCAAAATTTATTAAGCTTCAAATAATCATATTTTATAATGTTTGCATTGGTCTTCATGTTCTAGTCAATATCACATAATTTCTAACATTCCTCCTTATTTTAGTATTCTATAATGGAAATAGTCCAGAATTTGGAAAGAAAAATGCCTTGGAAAGGAAAATGACCAGTGAAATTGGCCAAGTGATTTAGCTTTCCTGAGCTACCTACTTTCCTCATGTACAGAATAGGGAATCACTGTGAAATTTTGAGGCTCTGTTGAGCTCTATATGAAAGTTCTTTGTAATACGTAAAACACTAATGAGTTGGAAGTTTTTAGTTTCCAAATTATACTAAATAAAATTTATTATTATTTACTGGAACAGAAACATTCTCAGTGTATGTTCTCTTACAAACGTACCTTTCTATGAACACACACAAAAGGGTTAAAATGATAGTATTCATGTATGTATTTATTTATACTTACCTTGCCTTTTATGAAAAAGTAGGACATTGTTAAAAGTTACATAAAACGCCACTTACATAAGATCAATTGTAAATTTACTTCTGATCTTTCAAGCAAGTAACATGAAAAGGGAGACCTGGCCAGTTACATAATTCAAAATACCCATAAGATTTGGAGTAATCCATTATACCGGAGAAGTACAGTTCTTAATACTAAGTTCAGGCAGGAATTCTCCCTTTAGTTTTTTTAATGACGGAGAGTTATTTCAAAGATTATTCTGCTGGCTTAGAAGGTACTGATTTGCATGGTTAATACAAATCAGTATGGACTGATCTAGAATTTTAATATTCTGTTTCATACCCCTGAAGAAAGAATTATATTTTCATGTGAGCTGCAAGGTGCTGTTCTTCCACCCTACTTGCAAATGGATTTTATTTTAAAAACTAATAAATAATGTGTTTCCTTTTCACAATGGTTGGATACATTATTAGAGGGAAGGTTAGGCTGATAAATTAAAATTTTATTTTGCAAATATAACATTAACAAAACTGCCTTAAGAAGATGATAGCTTATTTTTTTCTCCATAGAGGTTAATTCAGAAATTCCTTACTACATTGATCAAATATTTATTGGGTCTCTACTATGTGCAGGCAAATTCCTATGGATTTGCTTTTGCTTTCCTTCAACAAAAAGTAGCCATTCAAACTTAGATTTTGTGCTTTCTTCTTTCACTTTTTTTTAAGTAAACATGTATTTAAATGGAACAGAACACCATGGAACTGAGGCTTTCAAACAAACAACTCAAGTGTATGTTAGTGCCTTACAACCAATGCCCTAACCCACTTGAAATTGTGTATAATGATCAAATATAAAAAGGACTTTTGCACCTTATTTTAATTCTTTGATTTTTGTCTTCAGGTCTCTGGCATGCATTTTATATGAGATGTGCTGCCTGAGTCATGCATTCAGTGGCGCCAATTTCTTGTCCATTGTTTTAAAAATTGTTGAAGGTGACACTCCTTCTCTCCCTAAGAGATATCCAAGAGAACTGAATGCCATCATGGAAAGGTATGGAAATAATGTATTACCACAAAAACAGTTTTAAATCATGCTTAAATTTTAGTTCATCTGAAAAATAATTTTCTTTTTAAACATTACAGCATGTTGAACAAGACTCCTTCACTGAGACCATCTGCTATAGAAATTTTAAAAATCCCTTACATTGATGAACAACTGCAGGTATTTAAAATGAAAGGGATACTGGGAAACACATAGTGATTAGCATTTGTATATGTTCTAGGACTTGAAGATATGCTGTGAGAATAAGATGCATTAAGAATCAGTAAGAACAGAGAGACAAGATTTTTTTTTTAAAGCTGAGGGAAAACTATTAGTCAGGACAATCTCTTTGCACAAGAAAGTATGTGAACTCCGGTTCTCTGGTGGCCCGCATATTAAGATTGTGATATTCTGCCTAAACTCAGCATCCAGCCTCAGGGCTCATGTTTATAGATCTTACTTCAACACTTTGTAAATATGTTCCTGCTAGAACAGAATGTGATACTACCGGTAATAAAATCTGGGGTTTTCACTAAGATTTTATTATCCTACTCTTTTATTATATATCTCAATAATACTCTTTATTGAGTAGGCGAATTTATTTTGTTTTTCTGTAAATTGGAAAATTTGATGAAGAGAATTTGTCTCCAGTGATAAGAAAAAAGCAAGTGATAAGCTCTCAGGAGGTTCTGTTGTTGTTGTTTTAAGATTTATTTATTTATTCTTAGAGAGAGGGGAAGGGAGGGAGAAGTAGAGGGAGAGAAACATTCATCAGTCGCCTCTCACACACGCTCTCACAGGGGACCTGGCCTGCAACCCAGGCCTGTGCCCTGATCTGGAATTGAACTGGTGACCGTTCCCTTTGCAGGATGACACTCAACCAACTGAGCTACACCAGTTAGGGCTTTGGTTTTGTTTTTTTAAACCCCTTAGGCTTTTACAATATACATTCCTCAGGCAAATTTCTTTTAATGTTACGGATATCTTTAAGAGGACTCCAAAGCTTTCATTCACCTTTAAAAATGCACATGCCCTTACATCAGAGTCCAGTTCTCAATCCATGGGACACTTGAGGCCGAGCGGGGGTGTCTTCATTAGTTGAGTGCGGGACACTGTGCTGACGCTGGTGGTGCAGAAATGAAAGGACCTTGCGTAGCTCCTGTTCTTTGGAAGCTTGGCTGCTAGTTAGAAAACCCAGGAACCAAGGAAAATGAAGCAAATAATGTAATTATAAGAACTCACAAGCAGTAGGAAGAAGCAAACAGTATGCTGTAAAATCAGGGAGGGTGAGGGGTTTGGTGGTCAGAGAAGGAGTGAGTGACATTTTGACACCAGTGATACGGTGAGAAGCAGCTAGCCATGTGAAGAGCCTGAGAGTGTTGGAGTCACAGGGAATAGCCTGTGTAAAGCCCTGAATTTGGTCGCATCTCCGGGGAGGGAGACACAGAGGAGAGGGCTCATGCAAGAATGTGCCGCCAGGGAAAACCCCCAGGAAGTGGGGTGAGCGGGCTGGACAGGGAGGTGGTGAAGCTCGTTGGTGCGGCCAGCTCTCCCTCTGCACAGGCACAGCGCACTCCTCCAGCCCGAGGGCAGTCCGCTTGAAAAGAGGCACAGGTGCTGGCTATTGGATCAAAACCACACTAAAGAGGCTGTGAGCTTACAAAAAATTAGTCAAGAGGGATCCAAGGGGACGGATCTGCTGGGACTAAGGTGAGGCAAGTGAGGCATTTGTCATGGGACAAGATTAAAGAGAATACCAAACACTCAATAATCAGGATAAATAATATTTTAATGAAATCTTTTACAAATCCAAATTAATGCTAAATATCCATGGTAGCAAAATATCCGAAGTTCAAAGATAATACCAACCGGGCTAGGATTAGGGTAAGACAAGTGAGGTGGAATGGTGCAAATTCAGGGTTGGATCCTGTCTCTATTTAAATTTTTAACACTGTGTTCCATGGCTTGTGGCATTTTGATTTTTCATAGTATTGCATTAAAATACTCTTTATCTTGGTTACTGAGTCTCTTAGTGCCCCGTAAGTTTTGCTTCTGAGGCAAATGTTTTACTCATCTCGCCCTAGTCCTGGCCCTGGGAGTGTGGATTTTGTCCGCTGCAGAACCAGAGATGAAGAGAGCGTGTGTGTGTGCTTGGAGCGAAGGCAGGCCCGCCGTTACCTGGGTAGCAGGGAGTGAGAGAACAGGCAGGGCAAGGTGAGCGTGGAGAGGTAGGCAGGAGCCTGACCCTCAGGATCTGGTTGCATAAACTACCACGCAATGCTTTGTAACCCTTTATAGAAGGAAACATAGCTACCAGTGGGTTTTGGTTTCAAGCTCCCAGAGAGAGTCAGTAATAGTGCAAATTGGAAAAGGCAGGGGATAGTTTTGTACCCTTCCATTCCTGAAGAGGAGCCTTTTTTTCAGCACCTGATGTGTAGATACTCAGAAATGACTCCAGAAGACAAGAATTTGAATTGTCAGAAGGAAGCTGCTCATATAATTAAGGCCATGTGAGTAATTACTTTGTTTTTAAAAAGCCCATTGAGCATAAATAGTAAATGCATTTGTCTTGAAAAATCTATTAGTACTAAGCCAACTGCATGGAGCATCCTCATACTTGTCTTGCCAAGAAATTCAAGCGCTTCAGTAACTTGGCGTTAAAGCCCTTTGCCTCAGGTGAAGCAAATGGAAATCATAGGAGTTTAAACCACTGCACAGCTTACAGACCTGCAGGGTAGCTCTGCAGTTGCATTGTAAATATATAGAGAAATTAATATCTCAAACATTTAGTGATATATATGCACATACACCTTCCATGTTAAGCATACATGGGTTTCACATGTTGTTTGTTGAACAGGAACTGTTAGGTTATCTATTGAAAAGGCAACATTGTGGAGTCTTGGAACAATTGAAAATACTAAGCCAAAATTCACTTTCTTGAGAAATATCTCAAGATTTTCTCAAGATATATCTTGAGAAGAACTAGAGAATGTGTTTCAGGAGGACCATAATTATTTCTTGGCCTAACTTCTGCCTCCTCCCTCATCAGAATTTCTGTGCTGTAACTTACGAGAACCCAGAATCCTAGGTACCTTCAGAACAGACTTCTGTGTAGGCTGTGTGCTGAACAGTTCCAGGGCTGCGGGCGCTAATCATAAAGACCAAATTTATAATTTTGCTGAAGGAACTCTCTAATTAGTGTTATAAGGACCCAGTGAGAATGGCAGCCCTTGCCCGGAGCTGTGTAAGGCAGTGGGAGCGAACAAGAGCCCCCGTTAGCCTGATCTTCAAGGCCAAATAGCTCAAATATGCTTCTCTAATACCCAGTCCAGTGGTTGGTCAACTGCACCATTTGTTTTGTATCTTGACATTTTAAGCTGAGGAAACTGGTCCATCAAAGATATTTGCTCTTTGTTTAATGCATGATCTTCAGTTAAAACAAACTACATCTCAGTAGGACACGTTTTTTTTTAGGCATGCTCCTATAACCTTGTTTTCTTAGGTTACTACCTATTTTTAAAAGAAAGCTTGGATATTCTTAATTTTATTTTGTTTTATTGATTGGAGATCTGAGAGTAGTAGATAACTTCCGTTTAAAACACTGGGCTACTTTTTATTATCATTTTGCACTGTAATTATGGAACACTGCTTATAGTTAAAGTGTGCCAGAACCCACTTGCTTGGATGGCATTTTACATTATGATATATTGACTTCAAATCATTACTGTTATTTTCAAGATCTATGACTATGCTTTACGGGGAGCTATTTGGTCTTACAAAATAAGGGACGTATATTTCTGAAAATTGTGCATCCCCTGGAGGCTCTGGTCTGGACGGTATTCCGAAGGGATGAGACCTGCCTAAATGGTCATTACAATTTTATCATCACATTTCTTACTGCATTTTGAAGTATTGGGCCCTAGCCAAGTCAGGCACAGAAACAAATGTCACTGAGGATGTGGTTGTAGACCTTTCATACATGAGTAGTATAAGCACATTTCTTTAAAGGAAAAGGCTCTTAATAATATTGGCTAACATTTTGGGGTTAATGACCATCTGTAATGAGCACTTTTCATGAATTCATTCATTAAACTCGAAACAAACCTATGAAGTATGTACTATTTTTTTTTATTGATTATAAAGATGTTAAGTAACTTACCCAAAGGAATATAGCATTTGAATCTTATTATCCCATATGATTAACAACTATGCCATGCTACCACGAAAGTACCTACTGTATTAGGTTTAGAATATAAGACATAGTCAGTAAAAGTTAGCTATTATAATGCCATCCTCTGGGATACTTTTTATGTGTCAGACATTGCACATACATTATCTCATATAATACTCACTATGAACCCATTCTTTCTAGATGAGAAAACTGAGGTTCAGAGAGGTTCAGTAACTTGCCCAAGGCTACAGATCTAATGAATGAAGGTGCACATCAGATTCTAACTCTGCCTATTTCCGAAGATTGTGTTCTATCCACATGGTCGAATTAGTCTGCCTGTCTATTTACTTCTTAATGGCCAGAATCCTAATTTGTATTACATTATGAAAGCCAGTTATAAGCAATGAAATGAGCAGGAATTTGGAAAGTACATAATTTGCTTTTAAACAAAAATCTAATTTGAAAAATATTGCCAATTAACCACAGTCCTGGTTGGCTCATTACCTACACAGGCTTTATTAGTTTTTGCCTGGCCTGTCTCAAGATGCTTTTTCCCTTCTCAGTAGTGCAATGATACTTCTGTAAAATATTTGTTTAATTTTTATGAGCATGTTTGGGATGTGTTCTGTGTGGGGAATCTTTATTTTCTCTAGGCAAAAACAGATCCACCTACAGACTCTGCGGGCACTCTCTGAAGTGCAGAAAATGACCCCGAGAGAAAGGATGCGGCTGAGGAAGCTCCAGGCAGCCGATGAGAAAGCCAGGACACTGAAGTAAGCTGCCCTTCCTCAGGGACCCCAGCCCTTTGGCCACTTCCCAGGCTCAGAAGGAATTCACTGAAGAAAGGCAGAGCCAAAACAAGAAAACAGCATGCACATGCTCATTATATATGTATCTGTATGTTGACTCACTCATTCCCTCAAAAGATGGTTGTTGAACCATAGATGGTGATTGGATACCAGGCCTTATTCATATTACGCTTTCGGTCTTGTGTGAAAAGAAAGACTAGCTATCAGGGTGGTTACTAGTGATAAGAATATCATCATCCTCCAAATGAAACCTTACTGTTGCTGACACCTTCTGTACCTACCCCAGTGAGGTGAAAAAGGCAACTTCAGGACCTGGTCCTCATTCGCTAGGTGTTTGCTGCATCCCCTCTGCCAGGAGACCTGGCTGGTCTATAGAGAGAAGAAGGTTCTGGCAGGAAATTATTGGCCTCAGGAAGCAGTTTGGAAACAGAGCTCTGTTCTGTCAAGTGAAGCCCTTTGAGGTGTCTATGCTCAGGGCGATGCTGCTGGTGGGAAATATCACTAGTAATTAGAGTGCTTACATGGAAAGGGGGAATTCCAAAACTCTAGAATCCCAATTTCTCAAAGACTAGTTTTTCAGCTGGGAGGTTATCCAGTTTCCTAATTTTTCTTCTTCTTTCTTCTACTGCCAACTTTTTGGTAGCTTAGAAGCCACAACCAAGAACAATGGAGACAGAAAAAACCCGAAACACAAATATGTTCATTTTGTGACCTTGTCACTGTATCTGAAAGATGATTTAAATGTATCCTTTTGCTTACAATGAATATCATGATGAACCTGTGAGACTCTCTTTCCCTTAAGACATGTTTTTTTTTAATAAATGTGGGAAAAGACTTTGTTCAAAGTTCTCATGGGTGATAGTGTGTTGGTAAATGTTTAACAACCACCTCTGGGCTTGTGAGGTGAGTCGGGGTGGGGAGTGGCTGCTGATTTGTTTGCCAACTTCCTGTGGTGGAAAGACTTCCTTTATGGCCAATTTCAAGCCACCCTTGTGATATCATGGACTGTTCAGCTGGGAAGATATGTGCACAGTCTTCTCTTGGGAGCCAGTGCAAGTTGGTTTCTGCTAAGCACTATACTCCTGAGTGTGGCTTTTACTGAAAAAATAAATTCACATAAATTGTTTGAACACTTGCACCAACTCACGGTCCCAAATCTGTTTCCAACACCTCAGAAATGGCAAGATATCCAGGTTATCATGATTCATGCCACTGGCTGAGGGTAAAAGGAAAATCAAATCTCTAATAGGAACAGATTAAACGGGCTAGTTAATTACTTACATCCATATTACAAATTATTTGTTCAGATTAAAACTGATTTTTATACACAAAAGATAGTCATATAGATATTCTAGGTAACATTTCATATTTTCCTTATTTAAAGCCCATGGCTTTTAAATAAAATTTGGTCTTGATTCATGAATGACTTGCATTGAAATTGTTTTTAATTATTATTTCTAGGATTCAAAAGTGGTCATGTGTTTTAGGTAGAAAATGGCTCTATTGTCAAAAGGTTTATAATGTACCCATTTTATAGACAACAAAATTTACCACAAGGATGTTCAGTGACTTTTTAAAAACTCTAAGTATAAATTTGCACACAAGTAATCACAGGAACTCAAATCTGTCTTTCAGTTTAGTGATAGATCTATTTAATTCAACAGTCCTCTAGTAGAGAAAACAAAGAAAATGTGTCTGAGAAAAATTCCCCTCCACAATGAGTCTCATATTCTTTTCCATACTTCTTTGAGATGTTGCTCTATTTCCTTGTTTATGTGTTTATTTCATCCTGAAAGTTGTTATCAAGTTATTAGTATGTGCTAGGGACTAGGGGCATGCACCCCTGTCATTATAGTTGGAGAACACACAGGGATCAATACTGTATTCCTCTGTATTTTAGGAGTTCTAAGGATGAATAAGGAGCCAGGGCATCCTCGTGTGTGCTTCAAGGAGAATCACGTGGGTGCTGCACTGCACACACGCCCTCGCAAGAGGAAGGCCTACTGGCCTGGCTTCCCAATGCCCCAGTTTGCCTGTTGAAACAGGGATCGCACTTACTTATATAATATAGATGTGGTTTTAGTAAATCAGATATTTTTCTACATTTGCTTTACATTTGCAGAAGGCTTGTGGAAGAAAAATATGAAGAAAATAACAAACGAATGCAAGAATCGAGATCTCGGAACTTTCAGCAGCTAACGGTTGATGTGCTCCATGTAAGTGCTCTCACTTTACATTTTACATAAAACCTTTTCTTGCTTCACATTTTTTCAGATTCATGTGGCCAGTTGGGTAGGGAGAGAAAGAAGGTACGAAAAAAGCATCCAGACCAACTTTGTCCAATTCCAGGGAGGATGTTCCTCTCAGAATGTAGGACAACAGTGAGTGACTACACTAATTCAAAGCAGCTATACTTAGAGATGGAACAGTTGACTCATCCAACAAATGTCAAGTGCCTACAAAATAATCATCAGTGAATGAACAATTGATGAATTAAAATTATGACTTTGCAGAACAAATATGTGTGTATCTAATTTTGAATTTCAGCCATGCTGTTTTTGCTTTATGTCTTTAGTCCATTGTTCTCTTTTTGACTTATTTTTTATTCTTTCTCTTTTTATTTTGTCCCCCTTCCATATTATGCCTTGTATTAATAATCCCATTCAAACTTTGAAGAATTACCATGGATATCCCATAATAAATAGGGTTGCAGAGTCACATGAAATGAGCTTCAAATGCATGTCCTCTGTATCCCAAGACCCTGTATAGCAAATACTGTTTTCTTTAGTGGTTAAAAATAGGACTTGGTCTAGACTCTGATACTTAAGGCAGTCTTTCTTCAGGGTCATATTTGAACAATAGACATCAACACCAGCTCCAAGCAATTCTGGTAAAAAGCATCTTGAGAAGGAGTCATTTTTATGGAGCACTTTATTGTCTCAAATTCTATTTGTTCATTCATTGGAGATCCCCGCATATGAGGGAGATTCCTTCATTCAGCAGGAAGAATCAAGTCCCCTGAGGCTGTGGGGACAACCGCTGTGTCTGAGGATGCTTGTCTGCTGTGACTCGGTCATCCCAGGGCTCCAAATCCCAGGGTGTGCAGGAGCACCCAGCGGAGCTCCCTCCCAGCCAGGCACGGCCTAGGAACACTTGTTTCCTGCCTCCTCTGAGCGGGTTTTCACCTTTCTCAATTATTTGGTGGTTGCGAGTGCTTTAGAACCCTGAAAACCAAAGTTGGACCAGAGGGGGCCCAGCCTTGTCTGACCTTAAGAGTCTCCCCCTGTCAGATTCTTTTGCAGAGAGTTTGGGATGCTGGTGATATGTGCTCAGTCCCACCCCCCATTTTTCCACCCAACTCCCACTCCATGAGGTGAAGCCAGCTGTGGGACCTGTCGCGGGCCCCAGAGCCCTAGGACTTGGGAAGCCTGATGAATGGAGAAGTTGCTGGCCGGACGGGCATGGGGACAGCAGTAGCACAGGACCTACTTGGAGGAGGGTCTTGATGCCCCTCTGAGCGTTTGAGTGCCTTTCTCTAGCTCCCCAGACACTTTCTAGGCTCTGAGACTTGTAAAGATGGGTTTTCTTTCCTATGTCTGTTGGCTTTCTTCCCCACAAGTCTGATAACTGCAAATTCCCACAGATCCTCACAAGAAGTCGGACATATGAATTCTGTTTTTGTTAATATGTGTAAACTACTCGTTCAATCAGCTGATAGAAAGTGGGACATTTTTTCTGAAATGTCCAGCGATCCCTGCTTCTAAATGATTTTATAACCAAAGATTAGAAATGTAGAAGTACAGATGTGGTAATATTTTCAGAGTACACATATATTGAATTATAATCTTGTACTCCTGATATTATATAATGTTATTAACTAATGTTACCCCAATTTTAAAATGAAAAAATAACTTTCTTTATTCTTCAAGTTACCATATAGCAAATAAAAATGTAGTTTCAAACACGTTCTAACATTTTAGTGTCAGATAACTTACTTTTTTGCTTTTTTTTATAGACCCTTCAAAATAATTTTTGTGTTCTTTTTCACTTCTGATATGGTTATCATCAATGTTAAACAACTATACTACATTAGATCTTGTCCTTCCTATAAACCAGGGTCATTGGGAGGCTCCTCAAGAAACTGAAGACTGAGACCGTAATGCAGGCGGGATCTCGGGAGCTTTTGTTAGCCACATATTATCCCACAGAACACTGGGGCCAGGCAGAGAATGCAGATGTTGGCCCAATGCCGACAAAGAGGATTTCACAAAGATTTTATGAAAAATATTAATTTTTTTCCCCCAAAACCATCCCCTTTCCATCAGCAAGGAACAAAGGAAGCAAGAGGAGAAGCACCTGATGCTGCTTGGCCAGAGATGTTGGTTCATTCTTTGATCTTCAATTTAGTGTCACCAACATCTTGGGCCCTGAATTTTACAGAAGCATGTTTCTTAAGTTTGCAAGTGATGGGGGCAGAAAATGCTCGAGGCAGATACGTGGCTCTTGAAAATCACGTCCTCTCCTAGCTGTTTCAGTCCTGCAGAAGGGGTTTCATAATCCCACCCCCCCAAGGCGTCTTGTCCTCTTTTGTGCAATTACGTCAAGCATTTCCCGCTGGCCCACTGATAGCATCCCATCTCCTCTCTTTCCAATGTCACCTTCCCCTCAGGAAAAGCTTCTTTGACCTCTCAGGTCCACAATTACCTGACCCTCCTCCAGACGCTTATGGCTTACAGCAACACTTCTCAAACTTCAAAATCACCTGTTGGTCTTGTGAAAATGCAGGTTCTGGTTGGGTTGGTCTGGAAGGGGCCTGGGATGCTGCAGGCTGATAGGCTTCCTGGGGATTCTAATGCTGCCAGCCCCAGCACCACAATGGACAGAAACTGGGGCACTTGAAAGCAATTCACCTTCAGATGAAGGAAGAAGCTTTCTGTGAAGAGACCTTCTCACAGTCTCTTTAGGAAAGAAAGTATGTAATGGGGACGAGAGGAAAGGAGGAGCGACCTGAGGGAAGGCTCCCTCCTTTGCCCCAGGAAGAGGATGAAAAGAGGAGGCCAGGCCAAGTAGCAAGTTTAATCACCTTCACAGGTTCAAGAGTGAGGCATGTTTACTGACATTCAGAGAACAAAGGAGGCAGAAAATGGGAAGCCAAACACTTTGCTGAAGGACTGAAGGGTTTTAAATACTCAAGGAAAGGCACTATTGAGCTGAAAAAGATAAAATGTAAGAAAGAAATTGAATTAATCTGATGCAAGACGCTAAAGAAAAATGTGATAAAGGAGAAGAGGAAGGAAGAGGAAAATGTTCCTGAATTTGCCTGTCCACATATTTACGATTTAATGTCTCCCTACTCTCTTGGGGCTTCTTCTTTCTTCTCTCTTGCCAGCTAAAGCAAACCGCTTTATATTTCAAAAGCAGTTGTAGGAGATAGAATCAGGGGAGAGAATAGGCTGGCATTGTCACTTCTTAAACATGTTATAAAAATTTTTGAGGCATTAAGGAGAATGGCATGTTCTGTTTTTCAGGCCCTAACTGGCAGGGCCTTTTATTTCGGCAGTTATTTTCTGCTTGGCTGGATTTGGACTTTGAAATCTCAAAGCATAGTTGAATATGGAACCCTGTTCAATGCTGTTTCTTTAAAGGATGGTAGCTTGAAAACAACCGGATACCACCATACACACAATAATCCTAGTCTTTTTCTTTTTCTCTTTTTTTTTAAATCCTGTGGCATATACAGTTGTGAAGATATTAGAATTGGGTGTCTGTGGAAAGTGCATAGCAGATCAGATCTTCATACATGAAATATCGATAGTAATGCAGATCAAAGAGAGATCAAATCTTTCTCTAAGAGAAATGATTATAACAATTCTGTCTCTTCTCTACAAAGAGAACCTCAGAAAATCAAAGTCAATTGAGAATCCAAATACTTTTTCCCCAGTAATTTCTGAAGTACACATCTCATGCCATTTCTGTTCTTTGTTCTTAAAGTTCTCTGCTATCACTCACCCTTTGAAATTTGAAATCAATTTCATCTGATGCAACAATTATTATACAGTACAACAAACGGACCTCCTAAAAATGTTTTATGACTGTATTTTCACAAATGCTGTGCCACAGTGTGTCACAGCTTTTATTTATTCATTTAAGATTTGTTCAAACTTTTCTTTCTTTTTTAATAAGAAGACGTTCTTGGAAGTTCTCCAGGAAGGCTGTATATCAAGGAAAACAGCTCAATTCAGCACTAGCTCTAGGTTGTAAACACACACGCGCGCGCACACACACACACACATAACTAAAAAAAAAAGCAAAAAGATTTACTGAAATGCCTGTTAATGTATTTGAGAAATTGAACTTTTTTTTGAAGTATGAATTTTTTCATGTGACCTCTTAGATCTCTATTTTTAGGAAATTCGAATTTATAAAATCACAGAACTTTTAAGGGTAGACGAGAATTGGGAGATCATCCAAATCAATACCTCTAATTTTGAGATGAGGAAACCGAGCAGGGCTGGACTAGGGTGGGGTGAGCTGAGTGTGATGCCCTGGGCGCAGGTTTGGAGGAGGTGCTTGTTCTCACCTGCCGATTGATCCTGCTCTTGCGTGAGCCTGGAAGTCAGTGCCTCCTCCAGTTTTGCTCACCGGTCATTCTGCTTGCCCCACCCTAGTCAGGACCCTGAAACCGAGGCCAGAGGAGGTTAAAATGGTTTGCCCCATTTATTCAAGGCAGCTTCTGTTATCCCCAGCTGCCTGCCTTCTTGAAATTTGAAAACATTAGCATGTTTAAGGGAGAAGATTAGGTAGGCTTTTGCTTTCAAATAGACTTCTACATAAGAATATTGTTTCACTTGTGGCAGCGTTACTTTTATGTTTCTCAAGAAATGTTAATTACCTTCCACAAGGAATCTGATGACCCGACTTCAGAGAACCTGCCTGAGCCGCAGCCCATGCCTTGCCCAGACCTCGGTGTGTTCAAGTCAAGTGTAGAGGACACCGTAGCTGACCTTGGAGATCATGGTATGAGTCTGCATCAATATTTCCTGGGTGCTTTCAGCAGACACATGGCTTGGTGTAGCTGGTCCTGCAGTAGGCCTGGATGGGTTCTGAGAGAAGCCCTAGATGTATGTAACCACCTTCCATCAGTTTGCCAGAGCTGGGCGTGACCAGGATGAAAACCAGAGAAACCAAGGGGTTAGTCTGTGCTCCTCTATTTTCTTAGTGCAGCCGAGTTAGAAACTCATACCAGGAGAAGGACCTCTTCTGCATGGGTTAAACAATATTGTCATTAACCTGACTTTGGAACAGTGCAGACTGTGAATGTTCTGAAACCCTAGTTTGCTTCTGTAAATGGTTTTCCTGGCCTTCATAAATTCCAAGTGAAGAAATGAAGTCAGGCTTTGAAAAATCAACTATTTGGGTGTGTAATCATTGCCAGAAAAAAGTGTGCTCAGAGTTGGCACCCCATAGGGGAGATGCATCATATCCTAATGGTTGAAAACATGAGTTCTGGAGTAAAAAAGCTGGCTGTCAGGGAAGCCCCTGGCAACTTAATTTCTGCTTATCCCTGAAACAAAAATAACACCTCCTTCAAGGGTTGTTGTGAAAAACAAATGAGACTAGCCATGTGATGTGCTCGTAGCTCAGTGCCCAGCTCAGTAAGAGCCAAAGGAAGCGAAGCAGCTTATGACTCTGAAGGGGAGGGTTGCGAAAGTAGGGGTCCTCTCAATCTTGTACCACTCTCCCCAGTGCCTAGGACAAAGTGCCAGGACCGTGTAGACACTCAGTAAATGTTTCTTTCTTTTTGTAAAAGTATATTTTATTGATTATGCTATTACAGTTGTCCTATTTGTTTTCTCTCCATTATCCCCCTCCACCCTGCACCCTCCCTCCCTTCCTCCCTCCCTCCAGCACTCCCAACCCCTTAGTTCATGTCCATGGGTTGTAAATATAAGTTCTTTGGCTTCTCCATTTCCTATACTATTCTTAATCTTCCCTTGTCTATTTTGTACCTACCAGTTATGCTCTTTGTTCCCTGTACCTTTTCCCCAATTCACTCCTGTCCCCGACCCCGCTGATAACCCACCATGTGATCTCCATTTCTGTGATTCTGTTCCTGTTCTAGTGGTTTGCTTAGTTTGTTTTTGTTATTGTTTTTTAGGTTCAGTTGTTGGTAGTTCTGAGTTTGTTGTCATTTTACTGCTCATAGTTTTGATCATCTTCTTTTTCTAAGTCCCTTTAACATTTCATATAGTAAGGACTTGGTGATGATGAACTCCTTTAACTTCACCTTATCTGGAAAGCACTTTATCTGCCCTTCCTTTCTAAATGATAGCTTTGCTGGATAGAGTCATCTTGGATGTAGGTCCTTGCCTTTCATGACTTTGAATACTTCTTGCCAGCCCCTTCTTGCCTGCAAGGTTTCGTTTGAGGAATCAGCTGATAGTCTTATGGGAACTCCTTTGTAAGTAACTCTTCTTTTCTCTTGCTGCTTTTAAGATTCTCTCTTTATATTTAATCTTAGGTAATGTAATTATGATGTGCCTTGGTGTGTACTTTCTTGGGTCCAACTTCTTTGGGACTCTCTTAGCTTCCTGGATCTCCTGGAAGTCTATTTCCTTTGCTAGATTGGGGGAGTTCATTATTTTTTAAAATAAGTTTTCAATTTCTTGCTCTTCCTCTTCTCCTTCTGGCATCCCTATGATTCAGATGTTAAATGTTTAAAGTTGTCCCAGAAGTTCCTAAGCCTTCCCTCATTTTTTTTGAATTCTTGTTCTTCATTCTGTTTTAGTTGAATGATTATTTCTTCCTTTTGTTCCAAATCATTAATTTTAGCCCCAGTTTCCTTCCCTTCACTGTTGGTTCCCTGCATACTTTCCTTTATTTCATTTTTATAGCTTTCACTTCTTCCTATATTTTGCAGCCATACTCAATCATTCTTGTGAGCATCCTAATTATCAGTGTTTTGAACTCTGCATCTGATAGGTTGCCTGTCTCCTCCTCGCTTAGTTCTTTTTCTGGAGTCTTGATCTGTTCTTTCTTTTGGCACACTTGTGATGTTGTAAGGGGCGGAGGCTTAGATATTTGCCAGGCAGGGCAACCCATGTTGCTGCATTCTGGTGCTGTATGTCAGGGAGGGGTCCAAGAGGGACCAATGCCAGATGCTCGGCTCTTGCCCCACTTTCAGTCACTTTCCCCTCTGCACACAAGTGGATTGGGCCCTTCTGGTGCTGGGTTCTGGGTAGGTGCACTTTTGTACCTTCTTGGACCCCCATGGGCCCCTCCACTGAACTCTCCTATAAGACTGGGAGTTTCTCCTCCCACTGCAACTGCCACAGGTTTTACCAGACAGAGGTTTGGAGGCTTTATTTCCCCTCTCTGGAGCCTGGGTTGTGCAGTCTGTCTCACTCCCCAGTTGTTCCTCCTGGTTTATCCACACATGAATGTGGGACCGCCTGGTCTGTCAGCCCCCCACCCCGCCACGCATCCTCTCCACCCAGCTGCCCATCTCCGCTCCTCCTTCCAGTCTGGATGAATGTTTCTTCTTTAACTGATTAGCTGTCAGACTTCCATACAGTTCAATTTTCTGGCAGTTCTGGTTGTTTTTTCTTTTAAAATTGGTTGTTGTCCTTTTGGTTATGCGAGGAAGTAAAGTGTTATCTACCTATGCCTCCCTCTTGGCCAGAAGTCCCCCTCAATAAATATTTCTTGAATGAATGATTGAATGGATGAAAAATGAATGAGGGATACGTTAGTCTGGACCTCTGGGAAGCAGATGCCAAGATGGGGCTAAAAGTGGGAAGATATTATTAGGGGAAATGCTCACATGAAAAGGAATAGGAAAGAGCTGCAAAAGGCTGAAGAACTGTCAGACCATGATTCCAGTTTTATTTCAAGTCAAAAGAGAGGAGGTTTGATGGTGTATACTAGTCTGCTTAGGCAGACAAAGTTAGCCATCAGAGGCCTGATTTTGTAGCACTGCTACACTCTGCCAGGAGCCTGTGGGGAGGCATAGCAGCTGCTGAGAGAAGACAGCTGCTGGGCCTTTGGCCAGTTAGGATCCTGGTAGTTGGAAGTCTGTGAATTGTATGGTGGGATAACCACTCTCTCTGGCAGCAGTTGAGTTCTCTTCTCAAAGTGAGAATGAAGGCTGTGAAACTTGCTTTGGCTTGTCATCTCAGCCCAAATTTACATTTGATCCTTCCTAGCTGAGCTGTTAGAGCTTGTGTGGCCTCCTTCAGCTGTAAGGAAATGGGCACTGGATTCTCTTTAGGTTGGCATTTGCCAACTTTTAAAATGGTGTTCTGGAACCATCTGGTAAGAGATGTCATTGGCAAACAAATATGTATATCAGATGGATTTGTATCAAACTTTTTTTAGGCATTTCTTCAATATGTGATTTGCTATTTTCCATAAGTAGAATTTAGAAGCATAAAAATAGTCCATGAGCTTTTCTTTCCAGGCATATAAAACTGAGAGGCCACTGTGCATCACCTGATATGGATGACTTACTGCTCTGCGGGAGGGCAGGGCCAGCACCGTCTGTAAAGAGGAAGCCTCAGAACGAGGTATTGAATGGGTAGCATAGGATCAAGAAGTCTGGGCCCAGCCTCTGGACTCAAGAACAAAAAGTACAATACTTATTACTCATTTTATAGATGAGAAGCCAAAGACATTAAGTAATTTGTTCTAAGACTCTGAAGCTCCTGCTTACCAGTGCAGCACCCTTTCCATTGCCATCAAAGTGTGTGTATTTGGAGATGGCAAGTAGGAACAATAGATTTGCAAGAAACACAAGCATGTCAAGTAATTCAACTTTTATAAGGCAGAGATTATTTGTGTGTCTTTATGATTATCATTGTGAGCTGCAGTAGCTGAATTACTCCTCGGATAGCCCTGCCACAGGGCATGAGCTATAAGGAAACACTACTTAGATGTCCATAGGAAGCCGTAAGATCCAAAAATACACAGTACTTTAAGTTGGGCCAGTTTCCCTGTAAAATACTTGGAACTCCTCTATGTAAATTTGTATTTTTACATTGTTTTTTCTTAAATATTAAATGGAAAAGAGAGATTTAGAACTATGAGAATGTAACCTTTGGGTAGATGATTGATTAAAAGAATAGTGGGCAACTACAAGATAATTAGTGAACATATAGTCTAATCATGAAATTCTGAGACAAGACTTTAATTTGTTGATGAACCACGAAGTGGTTATTATTTTCCCCATTATTTTTGGCTTTTAGAAGACTTGAGTCCAAACTTTCAACACCCAGAGAAGTTTTTGTTTGTTTATTTGTTATCTTGCATATATTTGTGAAATAAAATTACACAGTCATTTTTAAGTTCCTACACCAAATGTTTAACTAGTCTTTGATGTTGAATGGAAAAATTCCCTCCGGGATATAAGGATTTAGTTGCAGAGAAAAAAAAGACATTGTAAGATATTATTTACATTTGATATGCATTTCGTTGACTATAGCTTATTTAATCTAGCCAGAACCATGGATTACTATTATAATCTAGCCAGAGTCATGGAGAAAGCATAATTGGAACATTAAAGAAATGACCTCCTTAGGGATTTATATGTAATTCCTCATATGTAATGCTAATGATTTCTTGAACATTATTAATTTTTCCCAGGCACTTCATTGTACTCTCGCCTTATCTCAGCAACTCACAGCTGAGTTTCAGAATAGCATTTTTTGCAAAGCTGAAATAGTCTGAGACTTGTGGGCCCTGGGTCTACTCAGAGCACAGCTCTCAGCCCAATTGTTCAAATGAGGAGGTTTCACTGGCATAAGCCTTGGCTGTCGCCTGACAGCCTGACCAGCTGTTGCCTCTTAATTTTCCTTTCAGCCACTTCTTGAGCAAAAAAGCCCCTTCCCAGTGCTAGGAGAAAGCTCTGACCCAAGAGGGTCACACTTGGCTTGCCCAAAGAAGTCCACGTGTCCTTTCCAGTCATGAGCTGCTTCATGACTTATCTTCCTTTTAAGTGTTCAAGTGCAAATAATGAGATT